GCTGCACTGAACGCATCATTTCCTTTAAGAGGAAACAGAATGGTAAAAATGAAACCCACTGCCCTGAGCGCATATACACAAGCTAGTGTGGGAATCAATGTGCAACTCACAAACATTCAGGTTTCTAACACACACTGGGACTGTGTACATGACAATGCGTCTGTGCAAACTTGATGTTTCTTATCAAAAAGCACGTTAATTAAGAATTTGACTTGCCATTTAATCCTTTTAATAAATCTGTTGTACAGGCAAGTATGTGTGTTCCTGCATACATTCATGTGTCAAAAGAAGTTTGTGTATATCTTATGTGTGTATAAATGGAGAAGGTGTTTGCCTGCCTGTAGTGATGATGAGTAACTGTGTTTGCTGGATGTTTCCTGTAGGCTCCATGAAGGTGAGCGGGTCCTTCCACCTCAATAAAGCCAAGCCATGGAAATTATTTAAGCTGAATAAATGTCAGCCGTGATCAGTGTTTACTCTGAGCAAGCTCATGCTCAAAGTTGAGTTAAAAACTTCTTAATTTAATGCCTATAAATACAGCAAAATCTTGCTTAGGTCAATAAGCATTTAAATTTATTCAAATTAAAAAAAAAAAAAAAAAAAGAATTATCTTATTATTATCTTAAGACAGTTTTTAAATTGTAGTGTATCACTGTCTTTCTGATGTCACACATTGATTGGAGGGCTGCAAGGTGGCTCGGTGGTTAGCACCGTCGCCTCGCAGTTCGAAGGTCGCGTCCCGGTGAGGACACCCGGGATCTTTCTGCGTTTGCATGTTCTCCCCGTGCAGCGTGGGTTCTCTCCGGGTTCTCCAGCTTCCTCCCACAAAGTCCAAAAACATGTTGAGGTTAATTGGTGATTCTAAATTATCCGTAGGTGTGAATGTGAGTGTGCTTGGTTGTCTGTCTCTAAGTGTAGCCCTGTGATAGACTGGTGACCTGTCCAGGGTGTCCCCTGCCTTCACCCTAAATCAGCTGGGATAGACTCCAGCCCCCCACGACCCTAGTGAGGATTAAGCGGTGTATAGATAATGGAACGAAGGATGGATGGACATTGATTTGTAACAGTTCACCTATTAATTCCGAGGTGACAGTGTCACAACGCTCTATATAAAGGAGACGGGCGGATCTATGCCTCAGCAGGTGTGAAAATCAGACACTCTCATACATTTGTTTTGGCTCAGAGCCTTTTACTTAACACACTTTACTTTTTTACCCCCCCGCTCACATACACAAGCGCATCCCCAGACACAACATAGCAAAACGACACGGCTGAAAAACAGTTCAGCAAACAGCTCATGGCCCGTCCGGCTTCATATATATAGTTCAGCCACCACCTGCACGGCTCTGCAAGGCCGCAAACAAATGCACGCCACAGTACTCGTGGCAGGGGGCCGATGCCATCAACAGCTGGACCAACTCACGGCTCTGCGCATCAGCCCTCCTTTGAACGACGGCTCCGGTCCTCGGCAACTCCGCGAAGCTGTCCGTCCTCCCGTTCCAGCACCTTTAGTTATTCCAAGAAGTTCCAACAAGCAAAAATCCAAACTCCGCAGCCAGGTAACTCCGGGAAACCTCCAAGTTGGCGTGTGTCGTCATCCCACTACGTGCCACCGCGCGCGTGCACTGCACTCACCTAAATAGAGGTTCATGCAAAGCCACGCCCCCAACATACATTTGACTCAATAAACAATACCTGTGAGCCCAGTAACAAAATACATCTACACTATTTCACAGACAATCATAAAGCATCAGTTCACCCCTGCTGGGTGCGTATGGAGTGAGGACAGACCGGGCCTTTACAGATTGGAAGTAAAGCTGCCTATGCTAATAAAATACTATTCTTCCATCATGTTTAGTTATTTAGTTAATACATGATTTATAACTGATGACGTGAAAATGTGGAGTGCTTTACTTTTATTTACTGATTATTGATCGTTTTTGCCGATTTTATTTAATTGTGTCATTTTTCATTCCCACAAAATTCAGTCCAACGAAGCTTCTGCTTGTGCCAGCATGACAGTAGAACAGTGCTGAAGAAAGTGAGTTTGCACAAGACGTTTTGATACAAGCATGTACGTCAGATTTAGCAATGCATTTAAGTAAAGTGCTACATTTCTATAAGTTTCATTACATGTAGTTTGTTTTTACTTTGTTTTTACACTACATTTATATGATAAACTTTTTTTCTAGATTGACATTTTACAAAGAACAAATCATGACCAATTACAACATTTACATACTGATAATACATCAATGTGAATGATACAGTTACATGATATAACAACAGTGTTAAAACAAAGTGGCCTGTGACCATTTTGAGCGAATGGGGTATAGTATGCAGATAGGGAAGGACCTGGACCTTCCAAGCACTTAATTTCTCAAAGTGGATATCGGTTAGTTTCTACAAAAGCAACCCAGTGTCCACAAAATAGAATCCAGTGCCATTCCTGATGCTACCATCAGATGGTGCTCAAGTGAAGAAGGTTCTAACTGTGCACTGATCATCCTTTCACCTATCAACTATACCCACTTGAATCTGTAGAGGTCACAGGGTCAGGGCACCCTAACATGCATGTCTTAGGACTGTGTCAGGGAACCCATGGAGGCCCGGCAACAACATGCAACACAGAAAGGCCCCAGCTGAACAGCAGCTTCAATCTGAGAACCTCCTGGCTGTGAGGCTACATTGCTAAACACTCCTCCACTGTGCCAACCATCAGTGGTCATAATATTCAACGTATTTCCTTTAAAAACATATAAAATAAAACCTACTCACTTCAGCACTGACGGATAGCATTACTTTTCATTAAAGTAACTGAGATTCAGCGAGGTGTCCTTGATATGATCTGAGGCAGCGGTAGAGAGAAGTGTGCGCATGTCTGGGTTGTATCTTCTGCAGAGCCATTCAATGATGAATGATGATACAGTGCAAACTTGAGAGGTCGAAACACTTTTCTGTTTCACTACTTCAGCTCTGTTATTTCTATTCCGTTGAGCAGAAGCAGATTCAGAAGTGATGTACAAGGTAGACAGACAGTTCAACAGGGAAAAGGTGTAGGTATAGTGCTGGGTGAACAAGGCCGGGACCAGGAGATAAAGTATTAAACTTCTCTTGATTTTGGGAATAGATAATGAAGAATGATAAGCTTAAAAGACATTCACATTCAACTAAAATGTTCCATGCATAAATAACTCAAACACATGATTCACCACTTGTGACTTCTGCAGAAAGACACTTTACTTTTACCAAAAAATAACTCTAGTTTCAGAGAAATGATCCTTGACTAATCACTGACCACAGTGTGGGAGATCTTCACAAGTTAGTCATTCTGTACTGGAAATGCCTTCACACTACGGCCAAGAATATCACAAATGATGACTCCCACAACTGCACCACTGGCTGGGTCAGAATCTCTCGTCTGCAGCACATTTCAAGATCTCAGTGTTAATTTTGTTAAACATAATTTTACAGTGATAATTCTATATGGGTTCTCTCCAGGTTCTCCGGCTTCCTCCCACACAGTCCAAAAAGATGTTGAGGTCAATTGGTGATTCTATATCATCTGTGGGTGTGAATGTGAGTGTGCTTGGTTGTCTGTCTCTAAGTGTAGCCCTGTGATAGACTGGTGACCTGTCCAGGGTGTCCCCTACCTTCACCCTGAGTCAGCTGGGATAGACTCCAGCCCCCCTGCGAACCTAGTGAGGATTAAGTGGTGTATAGATAATGGATGGATGGATGGATGGACAGTTGTGGGGTAAAAATTCTCATTGAAGCAAAATGCGATGTAGTGGCAGCGAAATTCTATGTACAGTACTCAGGTAATCAGGGACGACAAATGCAATCCAAGAAAAAAACAAAGTTATTTTTTTGTACAATGCTGACCGTTCAACTACTTCTTAATTCTTTGGCTTCTCATAGTTTTGATGTGGAAATGGAATTGAAACAATTGACGATTCTTCAAACATTCACCCAAAATTCAGATGTTTTGCTCTACAGCTTTTGTCTGATACTGCACCTATGTCGCTTATAGCATCAGTCACACAAACCACGGGTCACAAGCTTCATTGTGATCGACCAAAATTAATCAAAATTAACACATCTGTAGCGTCACACTATTTTGTATGAATGTGTGACAGAGCCTGTGAGAGCTACTGGTTTAAAATACTTTCGTTTAATAGAGTAGCTTAAATGCTTGGTTCTTAGTGTTTGCACTTTTTGGAATTGATTAGCTTCTCCAAATATAATGACAACAGAAGTGAAGTGTCCATGCTCTCTAAAACAAGGAGTGGTGTGAAAAACTTTTCAAAATATGACAAGAGAATTGTTGGTGGTTTGTATGTTTCTTTGGCACAAAGGTCCCTGAAGCCAGCGATGGACTGAACTCTGAAAAGGTCTAAATGTATGCTAAATGTTTCTGTTCACTCTTAGTTTGCCCTCCTGTTTTCATCGATGGTGCAACTAAACCAAATGCACCTCAGATTAAATATTTCTTGCCTTTGCACAGAGCGATGAGATCCATTAAGCAGAACATTTAAGATGTTCAACCTGCTCTGCATGTGCTACTGCAAAAGAAAAGTTGATAATGTACTGAAATTACTGTTTTTAATCCTATTCAGGACTTTTGGGGTCTTTTGGACCCCAGGCCATTTAGTTTAGGTGACAGGTATTGTTTATTTTTTATTTTTGAAGATATTTTTTTTTTTAATTATACAAAGAGGGACACTTGGAACGAAACATATGTCAGCTTTTCAGAAAATGTATTTAACGTAGTATAAAAGTCTATAATGAATACCAACAAATATTTTTGCTGATGCAGGTAACCTTTGGAACAGCTGATGATGTTACACACCTACACATGGTGCACACACACACAAGAACACGCTTTTTTTTAAAACGCTGTCAGAAATCACCCACAAACCACAGACGTGCAAATGCGCATGTGCACATAGGAAGGCAGGAGGTATATATGCTGCTGATCATGAGTCCTGAGCAATGCAGAGCACCCACTTTCTGATCAACACTGCAGACTTGTGCGGTTCACTTTGTTGTCGACATCTTCTAATCCCGACGACAGGTGAGTTCATCTTTCAAGTCATACCAACTTTTTGTTTTTAGATTGTTGAAAGACTTTTAGACTTTTTCATTCCATTCTTATACATATTGCATGTGTGTAATACTAGTACACATTTGCTGACTTATTCTCTGACTGTGTAATTTTACAAACAGTTCTCCAGATTACTGAATGAACATGCGGATCCTCAGTCCACTGTGTTTACTCCTTTGCTGGATGCTGTCAGCAGAGTCCATGTCGGTAAGTGCAGCATATGACATTCATCATATCATATCAAGAAGCTTAGACATATTTGAGGAGTCAACCAAAAGTGCTTTTTGCTTAAAATCTGAAGCATTTAATCCTAAATACAACTAAGATAAGGGCGGTGGGCTGTAACAATATTAATTTCATTAACTTTTAACATCAGTCAGTCTGTTCTCGTGAATCTTCGGAGCTATAAAGCATTTTGAGGCACAAATGATCAATATTGATACCATCTGCCTGCATTAGCATTGTTCTTTTCTTATGTACATGTTCTTTATTGCAAAGAATTGCAAGCTAATATAGCATGCCACTGTTGCATGACAACTCCAAGGCCAGTGTCGATCTCTCAAGTTTCTAAATAGAAGAGTTCAATACCAAACTACAAGTTTAAAACTGTTGCTTAAACAACCTTCCCTGACCTTTCTCCTTTTCCCTGTTTTTTTTTTTTTTTTAGATCCGTTTCAACTTCACTCTGCGAGATGCCAACCAGGTCATCCCGTTGAGTATGGTTGAAGATTCAGTTGATGACCTGTATATGGGCTGCAATGAAGTAATGAGGGACATAGTCGAGCACAAATATTTTAAAGAACTGCATGTGGGACCATTTGAAAAGACCTGGAAAGATGCAGAAAAGTGTGTCAAAGAGAAATTCGAAAGGAGAAAGAATAAGGCTCTAACCAAAAAACACATGCAAGCAATCTGTGTTTACACAGGTGATGATGTGTACAAGGACTTCAATAATGCAGTCAGGATCAACAGGGATGTCTATACCTCGACATTCCAGTTCCACATTTTACATTACTACCTGACTTCGGCCATACAGATCTTGAATCAGAATGACTACTGTCAGACTTCCTATAGACGAAGCCGTGACGTGTTTACTGGCAAAGTCGATCAGAAAATTCGGTTTGGTTTTTTCGCCTCCAGCTCCTACAAAACAAACCAGAAAGATTTTGGTAGTGAGACCTGCTTTAAAATTAAGACGTGTTTAGGTGCTTTTATACAAAGTTATTCACAGTTTGTGGACGAGGGAGAAGTGCTCATCCCCCCTTATGAGACTTTCAAAATCAACGGGATACTTCGCGGTCCGAGTCAAATTCCAGAAGAACTGAATGACTGTAAAGTTGTCTTTGTCTTGGAAAGTGCAGGTGTTCTGAGCAATGTGAACTGCAAAGCTGCGTGCGGATAAAGGTTTAGTGGTTCTTCTTCACTAAGTAAGAAGTCTTGTTCCGCCTTCTTTCAGCCTTCCAAATGTCTTGCAGCAACCGATTAAATGATCATTTTAAACCATATGCTGGACTACATTGATAAATACAAATATGTAGCTTCATGTTTTTAATTTTTATTATGATCCTTGTGCTCTTGAGTTTCAACATAATATCATTTTCTGTGCACACTTTTGAAAAGATTTCCTCATATGTTCAAATTTGCTTTCATCAATACAACATCAACACATTTGTCACTGGAAAACTGTGCAAAAATCATGATTGTTAAATCATCAAGGAAGGGAGAAGTTGTGTCCTGGCTGGTGTAACACATGTTCATTTGTGTACATTTTTTTCCTAAATGATTTCTGTAACTGAACACATCGTTATCAAAGTGCCAAATAGAAGAATAACTGCTTTTGTGCCAACTAAAATAATGCTGTTCTTTCTGCATTTATGATAATCACCCTTGCTTTCATCATTCTTTCAGCAGACAAATAAATACAATTTTTGACTTGCATTTGACTTTATCTTTTATTCATACCTTATAAATTATTATTACAAATTTGACTGACTGAATGATTGTTGTTGTTGTATAGAATATATGTTATATTGATTTAAAAAATAAAAAACTAAAAAAAAAAAGTGAGCTTTTACAAGATTGAATTTCCCTTCTGGGATAAATAAAGTATTTTTCATTTCATTTCATTCATTTTCATTTCATTCATTTCATTTATTCATAAAGGGCCACACAGTAACATATAAGGCATCAGCATACTGCAAGTTGTTTTTATTTTCATGTCGTAATGTTAACAAAAAATCAAACTATGAAAGCTCTGGATCAGGCAGCACGTTGAGCCACGTGGAGATGAATCAGTTTTAGGCCAGAGTGGGATAAATGAAGGAGCCGGAGAAGCTGTTCAGGCCCTCAACATTCCCACAAATCTGCCTGCCGTTGAGCAGCTCTACATACACCTGGCCTCCCTGCTGCAGCGACAGCAGGATTGTCTGTGAGCTGCTGTCCTCTGAATCCTCCCTGTTGTCCTCCCAAGTTGAGGCCATCACTTGACCGTCTCTCATGAGTCGTACCTTGTAGTACATCCTCTCGCCTGCCCCGCCCACCTTGGAGTAGACCGAGAAGGAGAAGGAGTAGAGTCCAGAACGAGGCGCTGTGAATATACCTGGAAGAATGGCATTTTTAACTTGGATTTATTTTCACAAGGAACCTCTGTACTATCCCTCTCTCGTCCAAACTCAGCCAGTACTGACAAGTATTGTTCCATGCTGCTACATCACAACTAGGCAAACCTTTGATAGTATGATGGTTAAATTATTGCTTGTGAGCACTTACCCAGAGCAGGGTTATATCCACTTCCATGGTTGAGGGTGACAACGTCATAGGGAACAGGCCTATTCCTGGTGAAAGGGCCAAAGCAGTTTGTTTTGTGGCTCAAGGAGGCTGTGAAGGCAACCCTAATTCCTCCTGAGATAGAGGCAGGTAAGAAAAAGGACTTGTGTTAGGAAGATCCTGGTTGTCTTTAGTTTGAACTGAATAGGTTTGAAAAAGTTGTCAAACACACACACACAATAACTTATACAATAATAACCTACCCCATAATTATTATCCCTACAAGACTACTTTTAAATTAGCTTTTTTTTTTTTTTTTGATCAGTGTTGAAAAATTAAAACACTTGACTATAAAAGCCGCTTTCAGTTTTTGGTGTTGTTGTTGTTGTTGGCATGTTATGTCACTCACTCCTGATTGGTTAGAATATAATGTAATAATTACTGTAACTAACTATTGTACTTTTTTAAAACTTTTGCCTAAAATTTGAAGTAAACAGACAACTTTTTATCCAGGTTTCTGAAAAAAATCAAAGTTTGAAAATAGTTGAGATGGTTTTTCAAACATCCAATCCCTGAATCAAATGAGAAATGAAAAAAAAAAACAACACAAACACTGCTATGATCAGAAATAATCGACTGAGTGTGGACTTTTCTTTTGAGTACCTATGACTTCAAGGATGCTTTCACCCAGTTGGAACAAGTCCTTGGACAGGTCCATCATTCTAACAAAGACTTCATCCTCCACTTTGAAGAGCTCCGTGGCTCCGCAGCAGCAGCCCCGCAGGCGCTTGAACGCGCAGTCGCAGTCCCACTTTCTGCAGGGCAGCTCCCCCTTCCATGCAGCTACGGATGGAGAAGGAGGGAAGAGAGGGTTATTAAATTACAATAAAATCGTCATACACATGTTCCATTAAGGGCTGCAGGGTGGCGCAGTTGGTAGCACTGTTGCCTCGCAGCAAGAAGGTTGCCAGTTTGCGTCCCGGTGGGGGCACCGGAATCCTTCTGCGTGGAGTTTGCATGTTCTCCCCGTGCAGCGTGGGTTCTCTCC